GCACTATTCTCTCATCTGTTTCAAACTGTTCTAAGCAGCACAGCGTTATAGAGTCAGTCTGCTCAGGAGCAACCAGGAAGAGCACACTGCCCAACCGAGGGTGACAGACATCAAGTGTTTCCTCACTTCCTCACTCCCGGACAGATTTTGTTCGATTCACATCTAAATATGAAATAAACAATCTGAAAAAGCAGAACAGCTGATTACTGGTAATAATGTAACTCAGGATTTCAGTTCACCTCAGAACTAATGTAACAGTGTTACCAGATTACTTATTCTCAGTAAAGCATTATTTGCATGATTATTTAAGTAAGGATTAATATGCGTTACATTACTTCTCTTGAGTAATGACTGAAACTATAGAAATGATCAGCTGTGTCAAAAACCTGCACATCAGGATGTTTTTCACTCCCTTTCTTTAAAGCTGTATTGACCCTTTAACAGCAGCATTTCTCTAAATGGGGCTAATTATCATAATCATTAATTAAAGATTGCAAACTTTTGCAAAAAGACCCAAAACAAAACAGAACTTAGATATCTCCGTGGGATCCTGATATGGGATCTCACTGTTGGTCAGAGTAAAATTCAAAGTAAAAGTTGTTCTGCTAGTTCATCAGGCCCTACAGAAGCACCAGGCTCTAACTGCTCTAGGACAGCGGTTCCCTGGGTCTTTTTCCTGTGTTGCAGTTGTGTCTTATTTTGAAAGAAATATTGATGTGTTACCATAGCGACCAGAGAGCATTAAGGGGCAGAGAGGAGGATGTTACTCAATTACACATGTTTCTGAATTGATGTTTATTTTTATATTTACAAAATACCAAATGCCAGTTTTTGTCTTGGTCGTATCATTTTATTTTGTTGTATTTATCCACGACACCTTAAAGGCGGGTCCATGAAAATACTGTCTGACATTAAACCGGTCCATGGGGACCGCTGCTCTAGGGTTCTCTGACCCTCGATCACACAGAGGTCAAAAGTTGAGCCATAGACTCAGAGTAGCTGAAGAGAGCCTTCATTCATGCTTTCATTCCAGACATAAAGACTCAAACAGGAACCTCTGGAAACAAATCCATGTTCATTAAAGCAGTGGAGAACATCTGATTTTCAGTTAAAGTACACAAATCTTTAACAAACCACAAACGATTATTTTGATAGTCGACTAGTCACCGATTATTTTTGCGATTAGTCGACTAATCAGATCATCATCCATTGGACGTAAAAC